TACGTACGATGCTCTTGCTGATCAGCTCCCTAGAAGATGGAGTGTTCCATATTCCACGATAGATAAGTGTGTCCCGTAACGCTCCTTGATAACATCTTCTAGCGGTTTATATTTTGGCATCTTGTTGTCGTGAACCACACCTAGATTTACTTGGTCACTGATCACTTATGCATCAATGATCAGAGCATCTTCATAGTTAGCATAGAAACAGGTCGTTGTCACATCGCGCGGAAGGCTGGACCATTTCCTTACCGTCGAGCGCGTCATCGAGTCAATTTTCTTAAGCTCAGAGTAGTGTTCCTCAAGACTGATTAGATGGTAAAGAAGAGCGAATACACTTTGCTGAGGTTTTAAAGACGCTTTGGTTATTATTTCCAGCGCATCACTAAGATGTTCATCCGGCTTAGCGGAGATACGTCCCTCAGATGTAAACGGGACTCCTAGATACTTCCACTGGCTTTCACTGAGAGCCGGGAGTGTCTGCCCTAGGCAGGTGAATCGAGTTGAATCCACTATGGACTTTTTTATACGTGGCACATTTCTAATGGCCACAGTAAAAGACTTGGCTGTTACGACGCGGATTCGATATTCGTCTCAGTTCTAGTTCAGTTTGATTAGCATATTAAGGTTGAACATAACTCGACGTGATACTAATTGCGAAAACTGAGTCACAATGCTTGATTGCTAGTTAGATTATGTAGAGAAATTTACTTACGTTGATTGTTTGTTACGATTTGCAAGAAGAACTGCGGCTCGATGAAATGGTTATCTCGAAAGAACGAAGATCGAGAAGATTTTTTCTGTTTTTATTTTTTTGTTTGTCGTATTGTTTATTAATTGCAGAGCCCGCGGCTTATCCTGCCCTATAACCTGCATATAGATTGACGAGATTAGTTTTGTGCTGTTTGTACGTATCTTTTGTTTTCATTGTTAGTGTCGTTGTGTACGCAAGAAAAGTTTCAAAAAACCTGCCTATCCATACTTGCAAGATTTCTTGCAAGTGTGTTTTTAATTGCTTGCTACCGCGTGCTTTGGGAGCCTCATCTATGTAGTAGTTACCTGTATTGCTAATTAGGGAATTGCTGTGGCTATGGTTATATGCTCGGATAATAAAGTCCTGTATGTACTCGTGGTTTATTTAGTATAATTTTCGGGAATTTGTTCTGTATCTTCTGCATTGTGTACAAGTATAGCAACTGTGGCCCATACTTGGTGTCCGTAAGTGATAATTGGTCGAACGCGTGTTCACTTGATTTCCCTCTTGAGTTTTCTATTTCTGGCTATAAATGGGTAAATTTTTAAACCAGGGTAAGCTAAGTTACCAGTAGCTTCTGGTAATTTATCTTACCGTGTATATATGTCGGAGGTGGTTTAATTTTGCTTTGGTCAGCGGAGATGTTTGAGTGTGTTTATGTCTCTGTGTTCTTGTTATTTACTTTGTCTATATTTGTGTCGTTCAGCAGACATTCCGCAAAAATGCAATCTATTTTGTGTTGTGACGTTAGGTGTGTAAGCTTCTATATCTTCTGTGATATACGTTATCGGAGTTCGTTAGGAAGGAAGACTTCCTCCTTGTCGTTATGATTTTAGTTTCTCTTTCTGTGGCTCTTCTTTTTAGGTATGGCTATGAGGTGACAGCCGTCGTGTCCATTTTCTTTTCCTGCGTTGGTGGGATGTTTATCGATGTTAGATCAGTGGTGACGTTGATTCTGCTTGAAGTTAACTTTACTCTGCTCACTGCCGTTTATGTCATCTATCAACTATCGTACCACTAAGCACTGTCCTTCTCTTTCTCTGATCCTCTAAGATCGAAACGTATCGATCAGGTGCCTATATCCCTCGGAAGGTACTTTGTGCGATGGTCGAAGCTCGCTGATTGAAAATTTGGAATAATGAGTTATAAATGAATTGACAACAAATTTCTCCCATTTTTCGATCAGGTACGTCAGACACACCCTCCGAGAGACCCTTCATCGTAATGGTAACAAAACTTATAAAGTACAGTACTATTTGTAAATGTTGTATAT